AAACCCACCAGCCACTCCTCAGAAGGAAGGCTGGGCAATCTACTTCCATAGTGATACTGCCTCGGAAACCCAAGGAGGGGTCGCTATGAGTCGGGTCTAACTCCATGGCAAATAACAACAACATATTCTACATACTAAGACAAAACATTTGACTAACTGACATTAGATAATGAACTGTACCTAACTGTCTCAACTTACTTACAAATTTGTCTTAATGACAAACTTAGAAACGGAACTCGTTTGTAGTCCAAGGACTGCCTCTACTGAAAGCCTTGCTAATGTCTTAAGTAGTAAGTACAGATATCACTCGCTTTTTGAAAGTTCGCTTTATGCCACTTCATTTTTACAAAAGACCTCCATTAGTACTTATTTTTGCTAACCGAAAGAAATCCAAAGAGGATTTTCACTTTTATGAAAAAGATGAAAAGTGAAACTAGCGTTCAGCTTTTATTTTGCAACAAGCCATTAAAGAGGCAGTGTGCACCGCAAGCAGCCAGTGTGGTGTCCCCAAGCTCCTTTCCTAGAAACTGTACTCAGCATCAAGCCACCACATCTTTGAACTGTGTCTATGAACACTATATGTTAGTGTTAGTTTAAGTTTTGTGTGTTATTTCGTATAATTTGGTGGGTTATTTCTTGGATCTGGGAATGCTCGACATTTTCCCCCATAAATGAGTGGTAATTGTGTCCACTTTACGCCATTTCAGCTTCACAGGAGTGCTCGACTTTCGAATAGAGGAGGAAACCTGTGTTGACATCACAATCAGCATATTTCACAAACATCCTTTACAGGGGTCCTCTAGAATTCTTGTTTCATTGGCAAACCCCTCTATTTATATCTCCAGCCTTTTTCTACGATGTTCCCTCCTTTTTTTTTTTTTTTTTTGGCCTTGATGGAGACCTGGGTCTCCCCTAAGGATGCCCTGCTGAGTGAAGCCTCTGCTCATTTCCCCAGGAGTTCACATCAGTGTCCCTAGCTCCTTACTGTTTCTTCCACAACATTGCTCTTGCACCCTTCATGGGGGAAACTCTCCCTTTTGCTTTTAAATGGATTTTATTTTGCTATCCAACTCCTTCAGCAGCTGGAGGGGGCAAGCAGTGAAGTGCTTGACTACTAGCTGAAAAGTTGGCAGTTCAAAGCCACCTAGAGGTGCCTCAGAAAACAGGCTTGGTGCACTGCTTCTGAAAGGGCACAGCCTTGAAAACCCTATGGAGCAGTTCTGCTCTGCACACATGGGGTCGCCATGAGTCAGAATCTACTCAACAGCAGCGGACAATGACACAACTCTTTACCCTTCTCTGCCTTCTTCATCTATTAGCTTCAAGGTCACTTCCCCACATTCACTGAAGATTTGGTTACTCCTCAATTCCCACCACCCTCCTGGGGTCCTCAATGCCTAATACACTAGCCTTGTAGGTGCCAGACCCAGTCCCAGTGATCCCCCTCTCACTTTTTATTCCAAACCAGTGGTCATACCCTAAACCTTATAATCTCCTGTAATTACTTTCCCTTTGAAGTCTTCAACTCCCACATCACACTCTCTGGTGACAAGGTGCCAGTTCTCTCATTCTCATAGGCCCTCCCTGAAGTGAGCCTCCAGTCTTTTGACCCTTCTCTTTTCTTTTTCCCCATCTCTTAGCTCCCTGCTCATTTCAGTTCCTTCCCTCTACAGACTAGAACCCTGGTCCATTAGTTACTCCAATCACAGTCTTTCAGAACCCTCAGCTTACCCCCTCCTTGTCCTTCTACTCTATCCAACCAACAATCTCTGCTTTTATCCTTGGGTTTCGGAGGCAGTATCTCTATGGAAGTAGATTGTCCAACCTTCCTTCCGAGGAGTGGCTGGTGGGTTTGAACTGCCAGCCTTCTGTTTAGCAGTCAAATGCCTTAGGCACTACGTTGCCAGAGCTCCTGCTTTTATCATGTTGTTGTTGTTATGTGCCATCGAGTCGGCCCCGACTCATAGGGACCCCTCCTTGGGTTGCCGAGGCAGTATCACTACGGAAGTAGATT